CCTTTTACTTACAGAGTGATATCGAAAAATTACCTTTCAGGTTTTGCAGTCATAACTTTTTTCCTTCCCACCGATTTTTAAAATATCAGGCTCATTTTGAAGATGAAACTTCAGATGAAGAGATATGAAGATCAGAATTGACTCAAGATGAACATTGCACAGTGTGTCTCACTTTTGATGGAAGCATCCCTGTATCTTTCGTATTTGTTTAGTTAGCATTCTGAAATTTGCAGGAACGATAGATATATACTGAAAGTACACACTATGACCAAGTGGAGTCATCTTCTGTGATATACACTGCTTGCTAGCAGCCATGGAACCATCTACAAAAATGAAATAGGCGAGTTGACTAATATTTTTTATTTCTTAGATAAAATCATCGTTCAGATAACTTTCAATTTCAAATATTTTTAGAATTCTTCATTCGATTTTAAGGTGCTGGGATCAACAATAATGCCACGGTAATTTTCAAACGGCTAAAAATTTACCGCGAGTAAAAACTGACGTCAAGATTTCGTAAGTAGAAACGGACAATAGCACAGTTGCCATATGTTGAAATACGATTGGAACTTACGAAATATTAGTTATTCAATAATTCATGAATTCTCAATTTTCTATTGGTTATATTCCTATAATTAGACATAAAAATCAATTGTCTCAAAATATTCCCTCATCTGTTGCGACTTATTGTTATAATACATTTGTGTTAATATTAATATTATTAAATTAATTCACACTAGAGGATATTTGGGGGATAGACGTGACAACCCAGAAGCATTCAGCACATTGTTCAACATCAACATAATATTTTGTTATACGGTACAAGCAGAGATTATACACTCCCCCAAGAGATATACAGACATGCTGATTGCTCGAAGAAGTCAAGAATGATCTATAATATCATGGCTAACTCTTATTGTTTTATCTCGTGTTTTATCCAACGACAGGACTCTAATCTTCATGATAAATTGATTATAATTATTGTTGACTTGACAACGTTGCTTCATGAGTGGAAATAAAAGATTATTTTTGCAGTATTGCAATATCATTGCAGAGAAAAGTGTTGATTATCTGCCTGCCTCGTCTTCATTGAGATAGTTGATGAATTGATGTATTACAAAAATATATTGCGTTCCAGTTACGAATGTCAGAAATATTATTCAGGTATGGTATGTTCCAGATTCATCATCCACTTTCCGCCTCTCATGAAAATCAGTATTAATTTTTATGGACTTCGATATTTGATGTCATGTTCATTTGCAGATCTGAGAAGCGGAGTGTTTGATACTTGTCACTGAATCTGAGAAAACCATCCAGTCACGACGAATCAATAAAAAAATCCACAAAGAAAAATGGCCAGAGAAAGCGATATATTGATATCCTTTCCATATTCTCAAGAAAACAGAGAAAACAGATATTCACCTTTATGTCCTTAATATAACCCACGAAATTGAACATGTGGGAGATGCATACTGGAATAACCACTGTACGGAAAGAAAGTGGATATGTAGCAATCTAGTTACGGACGTTGAAAATATTATTCAGGTATGTCTCAGATTCAACATCTATGTATTTCCTCTAATGATATTTTCTGATTAGAATGTACTTCGATTTGAATGTGATGTTTAGTTGCAGATCCAAGAAGCAGTGTTTGGTACTTGCCACTCAATCGGAGAAAACCATCCAATAAATACGGACCGAACAGAAGATCCGAAAGAAGAACTGGTATCACGATTCAAATTTGAAATTGATACTCAGTTTTAGATCTGAGCAGCACATTATTTAGCCTTCAAGGTCCTTGATATAACCCACGTGATTGAACATGTGGAAGATGCCTACTGAAAAAACCACTATACGGAAAGAAAGCGGATATGTAGCAATCTAGTTACGGACGTTGAAAATATTATTCAGGTATGTCTCAGATTCAACATCTATGTATTTCCTTTAATGATATTTTCTGATTTGAAAGTACTTCGATTTAAATGTGATGTTTAGTTGCAGATCCAAGAAGCAGTGTTTGATACTTGCCACTCAATCGGAGAAAACCATCCAGTAAATACGGACCGAACAGAAGATTCGCCAGGAGAACTGACCAGAGTATACTTTACAGAATTCAGATCATTATATTCGTACGGAAGGCGATATATTAATTAACTTTCCAGATTCTCAAGAAAACAGATAAGACAGATATTCACCTTTATGTCTCTATGGAAACACGACAGGTACCCTTACGAGGGGAGAGTATCAACTCGGCGTTTATAAACCCTCTCTGCAAAGGAGGTAGGCGCATGGTGGGTTAGGTATATAGTGTTCTTCATTGCAGAGAAAATTGTTGTTTATCTGCCTGTCTCGTCTTCATTGAGATAGTTGATGATTTACAAAAATATATCGCGTTCCAGTTATGAATGTTGAAAACAATATCCAATATTTTTGGTAGGTGTCACGATTCAAATTTGAAATTGATCCTTAGTTTTAGATCCGAGCAGCATATCGTTTGGCCTTCAAGGTCCTTAATATAACCCACTTACGTAATTGAGAATGTGGAATATGCCTACTGGAAAAACCACTACACGGAAAGAAAGCGGATATGTAGCAATCTAGTTACGGACATTGAAAATATTATTCAGGTATGTCTCAGATTCAACATCTATGTATGTCCTCTAATGATATTTTCTGATTCGAATGTACTTCGATTTGAATGTGATGTTTAGTTGCAGATCCAAGAAGCAGTGTTTGGTACTTGCCACTCAATCGGAGAAAACCATCCAATAAATACGGACCGAACAGAAGATCCGCAAGAAGAACTGACCATAGTATACTCTACAGAATTCAGATCATTATATTCGTACGGAAGGCGATATATTAATTACCTTTCCAGATTCTCAAGAAAACAGATAAGACAGATATTCACCTTTATGTCTCTATGGAAACACGACAGGTACCCTTACGAGGGGAGAGTATCAACTCGGCGTTTATAAACCCTCTCTGCAAAGGAGGTAGGCGCATGGTGGGTTAGGTATATATAGTGTTCTTCATTGCAGAGAAAATTGTTGTTTATCTGCCTGTCTCGTCTTCATTGAGATAGTTGATGATTTACAAAAATATATCGCGTTCCAGTTATGAATGTTGAAAACAATATCCAATATTTTAGGTAGGTCTCACGATTCAAATTTGAAATTGATCCTTAGTTTTAGATCCGAGCAGCACATCGTTTGGCCTTCAAGGTCCTTAATATAACCCACGTACGTAATTGAGAATGTGGAAGATGCCTACTGGAAAAACCACTACACGGAAAGAAAGCAGATATGTAGCAATCTAGTTACGGACGTTGAAAATATTATTCAGGTATGTCTCAGATTCAACATCTATGTATTTCCTCTAATGATATTTTCTGATTCGAATGTACTTCGATTTGAATGTGATGTTTAGTTGCAGATCCAAGAAGCAGTGTTTGATGATAATTGCCACTCAATCAGAGAAAAACCATCCAGTAAATACGGACCTAACAGAAGATCCGCAAGGAGAACTGGTCTCACGATTCAAATTTGAAATTGATACTTAGTTTTAGATCTGAGCAGCACATTGTTTAGCCTTCAAGGTCCTTAATATAACCCACGTAATTGAACATGTAGAAGATGCCTACTGGAAAAACCACTATACGGAAAGAAAGCGGATATGTAGCAAATCTATTTACGGACGTTGAAAATATTATTCAGGTATGTCTCAGATTCAACATCTATGTATTTCCTCTAATGATATTTTCTGATCTAAATGTACTTCGATTTAAATGTACTTCGATTTAAATGTGATGTTTAGTTGCAGATCCAAGAAGCAGTGTTTGATACTTGCCACTCAATCAGAGAAAACCATCCAGTAAATACGGACCGAACAGAAGATCCGCAAGGAGAACTGACCAGAGTATACTTTACAGAATTCAGATCATTATATTCGTACGGAAGGCGATATATTAATTAACTTTCCAGATTCTCAAGAAAACAGATAAGACAGATATTCACCTCTATGTCTCTATGGAAACACGACAGGTACCCTTACGAGGGGAGAGTATCAACTCGGCGTTTATAAACCCTCTCTGCAAAGGAGGTAGGCGCATGGTGGGTTAGGTATATATAGTGTTCTTCATTGCAGAGAAAATTGTTGTTTATCTGCCTGTCTCGTCTTCATTGAGATAGTTGATGAATTACAAAAATATATCGCGTTCCAGTTATGAATGTTGAAAACAATATCCAATATTTTATGTAGGTGTCACGATTCAAATTTGAAATTGATCCTTAGTTTTAGATCCGAGCAGTACATCGTTTGGCCTTCAAGGTCCTTAATATAACCCACGTACGTGATTGAAAATGTGGAAGATGCCAACTGGAAAATACACTATTCGGAAAGAAAGCGGATAGGTAGCAATCCAGTTACGGACGTTGAATATATTATTCAGGTATGTCTCAGATTAAACATCCATGTAATTCATCTAATGATATTCATTTTCTGTTATGAATGTACTTCGATTGATATGTAATGTTCTGTTGCAGATCAGAGATGCAGTATTTGATACTTGCCACTCAATCGGAGAAAACCATCCAGTCCATATGAACCGAACAGAAAAAGTAAACTGACTGAGTGAAGTATACTAATGGTGACTAGTTATGTTATATACTTGGTATATTATGATTTGATAGTCTGACCAATAATAATGCATGGGTCAGATAGGGGTCGATTGAGCTGAGAGCTGTATAGGTGCACAACTTATATCTTCGGATCAAAAACTCGAGAATGTTCATCATCATTTGGATGTAATATGTAGAGTTGTATGAGAAATTACATGTGGAAAATTCGTATGATACGGCAATGTCAGGAATCTAGTATTTATCCCCAGAAATGAATAGTGATGGAACTATATATAACTGTTTCACAAACACTTTAGAGTGAGAGGAGCCGAGGAAGACAGAATGCCGCATTCGTAATTGTAATCTAATTCATCCACTCACCCTTGCTTGGCCTCCAGGTACTCCTGCTTGCTGATCGCCGGCTCCTTCAGCGGAAACACCACGAAGTCCACGTCGCTGAACATCTGTTGGCGGTACTGCTCGATCTGCGACCTCGACAAGTGGCTCGGATACACAGGAGGTGGAGGGGGTGGTTGCCTAGCGACAGGCGGCGGTGGAGGGGGAAGAAATGCGCACGGCACCAGCTTGCCATTGGGCACCGGCCGCGGCAGCTTGGGCGGAATGGGCGGTACCAGCGTGTTGGGGGAGGAGTAGCTGGGCGAGGAGGTGGAGCCCACTGTACTCGCGTGGGCTGTTAGGACGCTGGGCGACCTGGTGGTGATGAATCTGGCGGGGGTTTCTTCGTAGGGGTAGGGGGGTGGGTTTCTAGGGCAGCTGTCGATGACGTCGTCGGTAGGGTGGGGCTTGGTGGTGAATTGGGTTCCGTAAGGGGGCGGAGGTGGTCGGGCGCTGTCTACTCGTCTGGGAGGTACCGGGGCGTACCTGCAATGATATGATATTCAGTTACAGTTTCGAAGAGATTGATGTTGTTTGATTTCATTTTTTATTTCATTCATTTCAGTTATTGCATTACATTCTCTTCTTCATTGATACATTACATACAAATAATATATAGAGTATAATTAATTTTCTAGTAGGAATGACATGAATGATCAGACAGTAATTCCTGGTATAAGATCATTCATGAAGTATTATCGACTGTTGTATAAGTGAAATTACAAATGGTGAACAAAACCTACATATCATTAAGATATCTCAAAATAACAGTCATATTATAGTGGACAATTGGTGAATTCCTTCTTCTTGCTCGTCTCTAAAATGTACTCGACCATGCGTAAACAGTTAATACGGGACAATGAAAGGAGAGAAGAACATCTGACTATACTGAAATACAACTGGAAAAGGTGTGGTTGGTCCATTTAACCGACTTTGAACCTCCAATAATGACCAGTTAGCAATATTGCCGACTTAAGTTTGAAAACCCTGTATTTTTCAATGCATTCGGTAATGATTTGTATAAAATAATTTCATTGTGAAATACATTGTTTGCCAATATTCGACTTGGATGTATTTGCTATCGTTGTCTAGTCCCATAACTATGTACTTTATGAACTACATTAAAAGCTGAGTTCGATATTTTTCTATTCCTGACAAAATGAATATATTTTGATAATAAACCTAGAATGTCAAGACTAAGAGATTCTAGGAAAATTCCGTATTTTGGTTTGTATTTTATTCATTTATTAATTTATTTATTTATTGAACAAATAACTTCCAGACAGAATAGGATCTGCTATGGGGAAGTACATAATTATATACCTATAGGTAAACATTTCATCATTCAAAATATATCAACAACTGTAAATTGGCAAACAAAGAATAATATTTGTAGAAAAAACATAGTGAAATGGCATGATCAATTTTATCCAGTTCGCTCAGAAATAATCAGTTTTTTTACTTCATTTTTCATGTACAGTTGTGTGCATAAACAAGTCTTACAGCAGTTATAGGCTATTTTGAGCCAGGCTTGATAATTCTTCTCAACGACTTTGACAAGCAGTGTCAAAATTCAAACTATTTTTGTCAGTAACGCGCAAATGTGAACGCGTACTACTTTTTAATGAAATCTCTGAAACATCATAGGCAGGTTCACACTATATAAACCTTGTACGACTTGTTGTTGCACACAACTGTACCCATATTTCTGCAATTTTTTATATTGTCAGCAGGTAGTTTATTGCATTCAGTTAAGGCTTAATGAGTGAATCTTTTTTGTCCGATTATGGAGTTAGCGGCTTCAAGATGAAACAAGTTATATTGTCTAGTTTCATGATTATGATTTTCAGAATTCCATATCAAAATAATATTCGATTGTTTATTTATGATATTATATGATATTTTGAGAGTTTCAAGTCTATATATTTCATCTGTTGGTTCTAGAAAACGTAGATGAAGAGTGCACTTAATCGATTTGTTTTGTAATTTCCTTAGTGGTTTTAGGCGTGAAATATTTGGTGTTCGAGAGCTCTTGTGAGTTTTCTCAAATTTTGATTGTATTTTAACCATTGATTGTACCAAAATAACGTCATGTTGATAATATCAGAACACTCTGTGAAAAAAATTAGATAGCCCACTTCTCTACCAGTGAGGGTAGTTAGTTACTATTGAAAAATCTCATGTATTTGCTTGAATTCATAAACATCATTACCCTTGGTAAGACGAAGGCAAGGTGACGTAATCCGAATCAGAGTCCAAGGTATGGCTGACGCTCTTCCTCGAAGGATACCTTCCCACTATCAAATCCGACAGCTCTTCGGCAGACAGCAGAGTATGCTTGTTATCCGTAGGGTCGCTACCATCCCCATGAAAGGACCCGCAGTTGCTAACATTGCTGTCCGCCCTCACCCTGAAAGCTCCGTCTAAATGGTCTCCCGCCGTAGAGTACTGTTCACTTGGGGCGGTATAGTTGTCGCTCGCAGTAGAGTACTGTTCACTAGGAGCGGTATAGTTGCCGCTAGAGCTGTGCGTGAACTGTTCACTAGGAGCGGTATAGTTGCCGCTAGAGCTGTGCGTGTACTGTTCACTAGGAACGGTGTAATTGTCGCTAGAGCTGTGCGTGTACTGCTCGCTGGAGGTTAGCGTGTACACGCCGCTGGTGTGGCTGCTGGGAGCAGGACCAGGGGCGTATACTGGTTCTCCTCTGGGGTCGAGTTCTATGCAGGTGGCGTCGCTCAGGGCAGAGTTTTGAGCGGTGTGGGAGTAGCCCAGCTCCAGGCTGCTGGTGGTCGAAGTTCTCCGACCTTTAGGTTCTGTAATGAATGTTAATGTCATTGTTGAAGGCTCGATTTCAGTCAGAATTTTGTTTTTTTTAGAACAATCAGCTTTGATTATTTTACACCCTTTTTAATTGTAATTCAGAAAGTGTAACTTGTAATTCAGATTAGTAAAATGTAAGTCAGAAACTTTGATTTGTAATTCAGAATAATTAATTGAAATTCAGAAAGCGTCAATTATAATTCAGATTAGTCAATTGTAATTCAGAATGCATAACATGTAATTCAGATCAGTGAAATGTAATTCAGAAAGTGTAACTTGTAATTCAGAATAGTCAATTGTAATTCATGAAGCGTAATTTGTAGTTCAGAAAGTATCACTTGTAATTCATATATACTATGGACTTGAATAAGTGTAGGGAATAGAAATCAGCCAGAACTCAAGGAGAATGGATGCATATCGGTTGTTCTTAGTTTCTGAATCATAAGTGATACTTTCTGAATTACAAGTTATGCTTTCCGAATTACAATTGACGGTTTCTGAATTACATTTCACTATTCTGAATTACAAGTACCTACTTAACACTTTCTTAATTACATTTCACTAATCTAAATTACATATAACGCTTTCTGAATTACAATGAACTAATCTGAATTTCGAGTTATACTTTCTGAATTACAATTAACTATTCTGAATTACAACTTATACTTTATGAATCACATCTTATACTTTCTGAATTACAATCGAAAAAGATGTAGTTGCACCTGATCAAAATTCCAGTTGGAACTAGAAATTTCGAACATATTTCATCGAAAGCATTTTGCACTAGTTCAAATTCGTATCCAACTATGGAAGACTATACTTACTGATAGGTTACTTTGTTGTAGACTACCCCCTACTTCAAGCATAATTTCAGTCAGATGCAGTTGTTTTAAATGCCTTTCCTTTTTTATATTTTATATTCTTATTATCAGATCTAGCTTACTGCTAGATTGGCATTTGAAATATTACAGAGCATAGTTAAAACTATTTTCATAGAAAAATCGGGTGTCGACTTGATTCAGTTTGTGACGGTAACACCATGAGATAACAAAAATTCGTTGAATTAAAAAAAAAAGAAAAAACCGATTCATCTGTCTAATCATGTGATGTATTCATTGGATCAAATCACACAGATGCTTGAGATGGATTGATTTCAATGAGTAAATTCATTCTCTTTTCTTGTCTCTGATGTACTCGATCGTGCGTGATCAGTTGATACGGGACAACGGCAAAAATCAATCAGATTCAAGACGAGACAACAGTTGTGCATTGAATTTGGGATGATTTACAAGGTATGGAAGATTCAGCTGTAAATCAACTTCGTTGAGTTTCGTTTCATTCTCTCAATAGAAGTGAAGAATTGAAAAAAAATGGGAAAACGGAATCATCTGTCTAATCATGTGCCTTATTTATAGAAGCAAATCACACACTTTAATTTCAATAGGTAAATTCATTCATCATTTCTTGTTTCTAATGTACTCGATCGTGCGTCAACAGTTGATACGAGATAATGAAAAAATACTTTTATATCAAAGACGAGGCATTAGTTGTACATAAAATTTGGGATGCTTGAGATAATCCGCAAAGTATGGAAAATGCAGCTGTGAAACAACTTCGTTGAGTTCCGTTTCATTCTCTTAATATAAGTGATGACTTGAAAAAAAATGGGAAAACGGAATCATCTGTCTAATCATGTGACGTATTCAATGGATCGAATCAAATAGTTCTCGTCTCTGATGTAATCGACCGCGCGTGAACAGTTGATACGGGACAATCGAAAAAAAAATTTTATTTAGGATGAGGCGTTAGTTGTACGGGAATCATCTGTCTAATCATGTGACGTATTTATTAAATCAAATCACATAGTTCAATTTCAATAAGTAAATTCATTCTTATTTCTCCCCTCTAATGTACTCGACTGTGCGTGAACAGTTGATACGGGACAATCGAAAAAATCAATTATATTTAGGATGAGGCGTCAGTTGTACGGGAATTTGGGGATGCTCGAGATCAGCTGTCAATCAAATTGCCACAATCCGTAAGAAGCAGATATACTCACTAGCTTGCACAGGAGTGACCACGACCGTACTGCACGACGAGCTGCATTGCGATCCCGCGCACTTGCCACTCGCCTTCGTCGAACTCTCCCGCTCCTCCTCCTCCTCCTCTTCTCGCTCCTCCTCCTCCATATTCTCCCCCTCCTCCCGTTCCTCCTCCCCCTCCTCCTTGAGGACGGCGCAAGCAGAGGCGGCCGACGTCCGGCTGCTGGCTGGCGCGCTGTCCAGCAGGTGTGCCAGAGCCAGACTTTCAGTGGAGGGGGCCGGAGGGGTGGTTATCATTATTTCGAGTTCGTCCTCTGAATGGACGCGATCGCTAACGATGCCTGCAACGGGATGCATATAAGCACAACGTACATACATGGCTTTGGCAATAATTGCTATACAGACGCCAAATAGATGTATACATACAGTGTCTTTCAAAAGTATCGGAACGGTCTCATATTTCAGGAACGGTCTCATATTTCAGGAACGGTTTGAGAAAAATTCACGAAATTTTCTACAGGGTGATTATTGATTATGTCCGATTCAATGGTGGCATCGGCAATGTTGCCAAGTTTACAGTTTTTCAGATATTAGGAGCAACTTTATTTTTTCAAATGGAATACCCCATTTATTTTCATCGCAATTAATTAAGCGCCTTCAAATTACTGTCCCTCAATATCAGATTCGTAATTAACATAATTTTCGAAATATGACAACATAGCATTTTCGTTAAAAAAATCTGGAACGGTCCCATATTTCAGAAACGACTCAGAGAAAATTTATGAAAACTTCAACAGGATGGTTGTTGATGATGCTAGATTCAATAGTGATATCGGCAATGTTGCCAAATCAACAGTTTTTCAGATATTGAGGGTAACTCAATTTCTTCAAATGGAATACCCTATTAGATGACATTAGACATATGAATCTATTAAATTCAGTGGCAAAACCTCTTATTCCATATCTTTCCAGCTTGACACAAAGTAACTGATGATTCACTGGATCAGAAGCCTTCGAGAAGTCGATGAAAATACCCAAAACAAACATTTTTTTGTCAATACTTGAAATTATTTTCTGACTGAACTCACAGAGTGCCGATTCTGTGCTTTTGTTACTGCGAAAACCATGTTGTTCCGGTGATAGGAGTTTGTACTTGACTAAATACTTAATTAACCGATCCTTTACTGCCATCTCAAACTATTTAGAGATAATGCATAACAGACTAATTGCTCTGTAATTTACAAAATCATTTGGATCCCCTTTCTTGTGCAGAGGTTGAACTATTGCGAGTTTGTAATACTCTGGGAATTTTCCTTCTTGAAAAACGCTGCATTTTTCAATAAATTATTGGAAATGTTTCTTCGACCTGTATGAGTCTTGTACCTGACGTGGTGTTAGAGGACGTAGAACTAATCACAGACACCCGTTGTCCACAGTTGTCCCAATGCCGTTCCTCCTGCTCCTTCTTGGCAGCGCTCAGTCTGGGCGCCACCGCCATACTGAACTGATGCGCCGCTCGACACAGCGCCAAAAGCAGTCGGCTCTTTTCGTCGCCGCTCGTGTACAGGGTGAGCTTCTCGTGCCCGGTGCGGATCTCGAAGCGCTTGCGCTCGAAGCTCAGCTTGCCGATGCTGCTCCACAGGAAGATGGAGGGGGGATTGTTGTCGGGACTGACCTTGAGACCACGCGGGCAGACGGCCAGAAGAAGGGAGCCCGGTGGCGGCTCGGATTTTGAGGCTTTCAACCTGGAAGAGAGTGATGGATGATGGATGGCTCTGAGGCGAGGGGCAAACAACTCTTTGATTACTTTTCTAAATACTTTCATCATTTTATTTATTTGTAAATTACCATTTCAGTATCTTCAGTATTTCTGATTATTTATTAAATATTTCCATTACTTTTTCAGTATTCTAATTACTCACCTTCTAAGTATTATTCAATTACTTTTGAAATATTCTGGTTACTTTCAGGATATTTCAGTTACTTTTATCTACAACTATGGAGTCATTCATACGTTGCTAATAATAATCGTCAAATAATGTCAATCTGTTCTCATGTCTAATTAATTTGAAGTGAATTTGGAAGTGATTCCTACGAATTCGTCCAAAATTGATGATGCATAAAGACTAACAACTACATTATTCGAACGCAGTGAGACGTGAGTGCTTCCCAATTTCTGTAATTTTCTATATATTATGTACTATAGGGTATACTATCTCTTATCCATATCCATAGTTTGTTGATATCTTATGGATATCCGTAATGAATATCTTTAAGACATCCAAAAAGGTCACACTGTCACATCCTATGGACGTCCATAGGATATACCACAGCCTTTTTCGGATATCTTATGGACATCCACAATATCCATGATGGATATCCATAGTATATCCATGAGATGTACTTGTGCTATCTGGGATAGCTGCTTCTCACCTGAACAAGTGGGCGTTGACAGGCTCTTGCAGTCGCCCCGCCTCCGCTATGACCCGCCCCCTGGCCTCGAGCTTGCCCATTCCTCGGTGGGCGCGGTGGGCGGCCACCACCGCCCTGAGGTGGGCGGGCGCCCGCATGTGGGGCGGTACGTAGTCCTCGGGGCGGAACGTGGTACGGTCGTCGTCTGCGCAGTCGCCGAGGTCCGATTGGAGGGCAAGGCCGGCCAATGGGGCGGTGTGGTTGCCAGCCGCCCCTGAGGCCGTGTTGAGGCGCAGCTGGAGGTAGTAGTGGTGCCTGAGAAGGGAGGGAGAAGTCGAGGATCAATGAGCATTCGAAATAAAAAAAATTCCTAATGATATTGTCACGAGTAGAACATACGGTATATTAGTAATTTCGAACCATGAGGGTTTTATAAACATAAAGTTAATCAAATCATCCGTTGACATTGAATTATGAAAACTGACCAAGGAACTCTCATGAGAAACGTGCATATCTAATAAATTGATGTATATAAATATTGGATGTGAGGGTTCCGAAGTTAGTATGGTCTAGGGCTACTCTTGACTTGACAAGAGCTCGTTGTAATGGTCATTATATTATATAATGTGAGTTGTTATTAGATCTTTATATTCATTGTTGTTTATTCATATTTGTCATCGCTACCCATAATGTTTCATGCTTCAATACATATTGTTATCGTTGTATATAGTCTCGTACCTACTTTCAGCTACCCCTAAACTATTAGTGCCTATTCGAATATTACCTCTCGCAAACCAATAAGCCAAGCTAACCCCTTTGAATCGATATGGTGGGAAACCAACCATTTATATCGTGACAATATTATAAATAGTTCGAATGTAAGAATTATTTTATTTATTTATTTATTTATTTAATTAAACCGACGTCGTATCTCTTATAATAACTGATCTTCATGGTGGAGCACGACCAATCAGATCAACATAGTGGGATATTCCCTGATCCCAAGACTCGTTCCTTTTTGTTAGGTTCTGGTTCCCACGAAAAAGGATACCTTGTAATGTTCAGAGATCATCGTGCGAACCAAGAAAAATGAGATAGGAATTGGTGTTCTTCTTGAATTTCTAGAAGTTATATTCCTCGAGGAACACCTTCCTTGGAAATGTGTTCCAGAGCCTTGCTGTTCATTGGATGAACGAGTCTTTGGAAAGAGATGTTCTGCAGGTCTCCAAAGTGACCACGAAGGGGTGCGAAGCCTCAAATTGACGGGTTAATCTCGCGGGGACTGCCAAGGGAGGAACAATTGGTAATATTTCAGAAGAGCATCGTCCATGGAAATATCTATAAAATAGGGCCAGATCGCCAACTTTTCTACGGTGTTCCAGAGAAGTGAGTGAGTTTGTGAGCGAGGCATCACCCACGAGACGAATTGCCCTATCTTGGGCAGAATCCAACAGTTTCAGGGAATGTTTGGGTGCTGCACTCCAAATATGGGAACATTATTCCAGGACAGGTCGGATCTGTGCCTTATAGATCATAAGCAGCTGACTTGAAGTGAAATAGCTCCTGGCCCGAAACAGACAGCCAAGTTTTTGGAATGCACTTTTAGCAATTGATCTCACGTGATTTGCCCAAGAAAGGTTATTGCTGATAGTGACACCAAGCATCTTCAAAGGTATGGTTACTCCTGACAAGCTCATGTTGGGCACAGTATGAGATCGGCTTTTCTAGATAAAAGGCATGCTTGTGTTTTGTTTGCATTGAAATCTACCAAGTTATTGGATCCCCATTCGAGAATTGTTACCAAGTCCATATTTATGTTGTCAACATTTCAATAGAATCGGAACATAATTAGCAAACTCGACCGCCATCTTGAATTTTCCAATAATTTTAACGAAAGATTCATATAATCTCCGACCCCAAAAAATCCTCAAACATAAATTTTGAATAGAATAGGATCAGAATTACAAAACTCGTCCGCTATATTGGATCCGCCATCTTATTATATGTTGGTGGAAGTCCTCCACCCGAGGTATCGCATGACCATATTATAAAATATTGAAATGACACAATGAGCAACCGCATCATTCATTATGTAGAACTGTGTTCAAATACAATCACTTGTTTTACTAGAAAATTAAGAGAATTCGACATTTGCCCAAAAGTCGAACTTCCACGATCTGTCTAAAATCAACTGCTCGGAGAAGTTGAGAACCTTTGCTAAGAATGTTAAAACCTACAAAATATCCAAATTTCAGCCATTTTTACCGGAACCTATTCCATAAAAAATCTGTGTGGGGTACTTTACTTACATCTCTTTTGATAAAATCTGATAGAACCTACCTGGTGGTTTCGTCCCGCAGCAACAAGGGACTGTCGACGTAAAACTGCACTCGGAAGTAGAATGCCAATGCTGGTCGACCGTTGGCATCCAAGCCATGGCTGTGTGAGGACCGCCAGCTTTTCGGGGCATACTTAGACAGTTTGCTCTCAGGTTCTGCGAAAAGGTACTCGCCATCTGAAATAGACAGAACCGCCATGAATATCAGAAAGAAATACGCGTTGAATCATCCAAAGCAAAATCCATTTTGGAAAAATCTAGTCAGTATTGAAAAGGAATATTCTCATATAATCATGAACATAAATGAAGGATATACAGGGTGTTCCGTTGGGAAACGGAAATACTTCAATGGTGGATAGAGGTGACCAAGGTGGTTCTGAATATACCATATATGTTGGGTCTTACATGTTTAATTATCGAGATATACGGTGTTTCATCAATTCTGGTCATTTCTTTGAAGGCTCATAGATTTTTTTGATATTTGGTAGACGTGTTTTTCGACTACTATCCCAGCGACTTGTATATCCGTCAGAAAAAAATTCCAGGTCCGTATTAACAAAAATTCAACATATTATTGCTTCCTCGAAAAAACACCCTGTACGTTTGAATTTACAAAATCTGCTTACATATCTGAAGAGAGCACAAAATGTTGAATGGATATTTTACTACTGAATTTCTAGAGCTGCAATGAAGGGATTGTGAATTTCAATAGTTAAAAACGGAATATACAGTTTTTCAGATCGAATTATGAAAATTTTGCAATTTCAGAACTCATTTCATTCCATTTAATAGTCGTTGTCTGCATTTTTGAACGGACCAGTGTATAATCACAGGTTCTTACTTTATTCATGTACCTATTTATTTATTTGAGACATATTTCCTGAAAATTGAATATCGTTATCAACTACTATTTGGAGTATTTTAAAAAAAATCATAGATGATAATAAACCAGCATATTTAGCAGATTTTCTAACTCCACGTCATGAACTACATAACCAGCATAACCTCAGGAACATCATAAGATATAACATCCCACAGCACAATACCACCAAATTTGAATACTGTTTTGCCTATGTATCGATAGAATTTTTAAATAACCCAGAATACTATCTTAGAACTCAGAACAGATCTGTAGCTAGCTTTAGAAGAATATGGAGAGACTACCTTTTAAGTATTCAGACATAGAATGTGATAAAAACTTAGTCAAAAGTTTATATTAATTAATTAATTAACTCTATTTTATTAATTTTTTTTTATATTCAAGACATTGTTGTTTTCGTTAGTGTTTTTATGAATGTTAACCATCTAGATTTTATTATTTTGAGCTTTTTACTCATAACGAGTGGTGGTATGGTAGAACGTGTAAACGAATGCCACCTTTTGTGTAGTATATTTATATTATATTTATATGATGTAAGATATTTACACAATAAATGTTTTTCTATTCTATTTCTATTCTATTCTATTTCCATGCAACCTGTATGTCGATTCACATATTTCAATATCTCTATTGTTTTGATGTTATAATTTCACTTACCTATTAGAAACTGATGGATCTTATAAACTTGGTATAGGTATTAGGAAAAGAATACAATATGGCATAATTAATTTATACCCATCAGAATAAAAATGTTCTGCAGCGAATTTTGTTTGAATCAGTTTGATTTAGGAATTCGAAATTTTTCAACTGATGGTTGGATTTCGAGTTGGATTTAATGTAATTGTTTCCACGAATAGGTAAGTGAAATTATTACATCAAAACAATAGAGATATTGAAATATGTGAATCCACGTACATCAGGGTGCATGGAAATATGTCTCAAACAAATATATAGGTACATGAATAAAGTAAGGACCTGTGAATATACACTGGCATAAAAAAGCAGACAACGACTATTAAATGGAATAGAATGACAGGAAGGAAGGAATGCTCGAAGTCATCTCCACAAATTTTAATGATATTTTGTGGAGATGACTTCGAGCATTCCTTCCTTCCTGTGAAATATTTCACTCCACTTTGAGCAATATGAACTTCTACCAAAGATCAAAGATTGGAATAGAATGAGTTGTAGAATTGCAAAATTTTCATAATTCGATATGAAGAACTGAAAATATTCCGTTTTTAGCTATTTATTTTCGAAAAACCGGCAAAAGACTTTTTAAAAAAACGTTTATTATGTTATCTGGACAAGGTATACGGTCAAAATCGTCGGAAAAATGAATTACACATGTATTTATAATGTCGGTTGATCTTGAGAGACGAAATATGAATCTGCTGATCTCGCTGCTTTCCGGGAAACGGCCTGGGAAGTGTTGTACCTAGCTCGGTACCGTGGGACCGCTCGATGTAACTCCTCCCCCCTTAAGAGACGGCTTCGGGCTGGAACAGGACCGAAGGCGATCGGACTGATTGATGATTATCTTCGATCTTGATTTGGGCTTCTGAGGGCTTCTTCTTCAACTTCAGGAGTCTGCGAGTGATGTAGGTCAACAATATGAGGATGGCTATTGCGACTATAGTCCAAAACATCCAGTTGATTGATTGGTCGTCATTGAAATCATCGATTGATAGTTGATTGGTTGCTTCGATGTGTTGCCGGAGCCGATGGATATCTTCTAATGGGACGTTTTCGATTCTGAGTGGTTTTCTCCGGACTATTTCAACTTGGGTGGAACCGTTCATGATTTTTGGTAATACGAGGGGACTACCAAAACTTGTGGCCTGGTTGTTTTCGAATTTGACTGACTGGTATTCGACGCTGCAATTCAGTGGAATCTGAAGTAGAATGTTGCCTTGTACGGTGAGGAATTGTTCTTCGGGGCATTGAGTTTTAATCTTTATTTCTTCACGGCTGATGATCAATAAATACCCCACTGAGCAAGAAACATCCTTAGGAGGTTTATTAACGTTAAAATATTGTATCCCCGGAGACGTTTCTGCGAACACAGCACTTGTACGTCATTAATAACATAACTATGTGACATTGTTATTTTTAACGTACCTTCTACATCATAAGTTAAACTTTGCTACTTTATATTAACGTCACTAATGTGATTGTTATGTTGGTGGACATATAACGACTTTAAGACGGTCTTTGAGATGTCGATAGGCCTTGGACCAAACGTTACTAGTATGTTTTTTTGCACAGTGGGACTCTTCATTTACTTTATTGAATATCAATAATGGAATTTCTACTGGTATTTGTAGACATCGGGATCTCTTGTCTTGGATGAGGGCGGAAATGCAGTCTTCAACAGGATTGAACTTGAATTCTTCTTGCTCGCAAAGGAAGGTGTCTTCGACTTTCGTACAGATATGGTCCATGTACTGATAGTTTTCTTGTTCGAGAGCCAAATAAGGTTTATTTGGGATAATTAAGGTTTGATTATTGGTTGGAATTGGAAATAAATGGAAATATTGAAAGGTTTTCGGATGAATTATTGGAATTTCTATGGCAAAAATGATCTTAGCCTTAGTGAAGTAACAGTTTGTGTGCATAATAGAATACCAAGTGTGATAATTAACATCTAGTATCGTATTGTGATCATTATGAAATCTCAATTCAGTTAGTATGTTTTTCAAGTTTTGAAATGGCAATATATCTGGATGAATAATATGTAGTTTTGCAAAAGTAATGGCATTTTCTATGTTGTCCAAGAGAGTAACGAATATATTGGCATTCAAAAATATTTGATCCAACATATTTGTATAAACTGCATATTTTGAGAACTGGTCTGAAATGTTTTCTAAAGAAGCTTTGTTATCAGAAATATACTTGGAAATCTTCTTCTGATTATTAGTAATTGTTTCCATATCTTTCGAATATTGGCCGATTAATTGTTTGGATAATGAAATTTGTATATTGACATCCTTGACGATTTTTTGTTGATTTTCCTTCAAAGCTGTAATAGCACGATCGTATCTTTCGCCGTCTGAAGAATCGAGTGTACCGAAAAGAAACTTTTGTACTGTTCCTCCTGCATTGATCAATCCTCTTCTATTTCTGGAATATACTGGGTAATATATATTATTGAATTTATTTGTGACTTCGTTGATAATAGGTTCCAAATTTTCATAGGTATTCTTCAAGGTATAGAAATATCTAGATTGGTTACCAGTGAGATATTTGAGGTTTCGATAGCTTTCAATTAATTTGTTAATTTCGTTTTCTATGATTTTCAGATCGATTTCATTGATAAATACATGTTTATTGGTTATAATTTTAGATTGGCCTAATTTAAATGGGAGAATTCCGGGTGAGTTGGTGATTTGTTTCAGTTTAATCTCGTGAGCTTGGACCAGCACGGTCATCAGCTGAAGGAGTATCAGTCTCTTCATTTTGAGCCTGTAACAAAACGGGTTTTCTTAGTTCTTTAATGTGGATGGTTTCTGTCTTGCCTTTCTTATTCTTTATTTCGACTTTATTGTGCTCTAACATTCTAGTTATAGTATATGGTCCTAAAAATTTATTATTTCTTTTATTTCTGTTCAACGGATTTTTCTTATACACCTTCTGATTTAATTTGAATTCGTCGTTTGCATCGCCTTTGATATTTGATTTAGATATGATAGTTTCTTTTCGAGTTTGAAGCTTTTCTTTCACTTTGTCATATACTGGGTGAATTTTTTGTTTGTGATCTTGAATATATGCGGAAAATACTTCCTTAGGTACAAAAATTTCCTCTGCGCTTCTAGAGTCGGTATGTCCAAAAACAAGTTCGAATGGGGTGAATCCTGTTGTGCTATGAATTGAACTATTGTAACCTAATGTGGCATAATTGATCAAGTCTGATTCGTTTGGGTAGATTTCTTTCAATATTCTTAGTTGCTCTATTAATGTCGAATGAAATCTTTCCACAATTCCGTTAGCTTCGTGATGTCCTGGGGTAGTGAAATGTATTTTTACTTTATGAAGGTTCAATAGTTCTTTAACAGTCTCATTATTAAATTCTTTTCCACTATCTACTATGATTTTTTGTGGAGTACCAAAACATGTGAAATATTTGAATAATGCATTGCATATGTTAATAGCAGTTTTTCCAGGAATTATAAGAGCTTGACCGAATTTTGAGAAGGCATCTATCAGGGTTAAATATATTTTGGAATCGAAAAAGAATGAATCGATATGAACTGTTTGAAAAGGTTTTGATGGAGTTTCAGTTAGAACAAGTGGCACA